AAAAAAAAAAAAAAAAAAAAAAAAAAAAAAAGGAAAGAAAGGCATGGCAAGGAGCACATGCAGAGCCCAGTACGTGCATCCCATCGGGGATGCGTGGGAAGGAAGCCATGGGTAGGTGGGAGCTCACGGTAAAGGCCTTGGGAGTCAAGGCTTTAACACGAAGCTCTGTGAGCAGACCGGCAACGCAAGGATCCCTCTTTAAGAGAACTTCCCTGCCAGCCATGACGCAGAGGCGGACTGGTGGTGGGGAAACCACTTTGGTGGCTGCAATTCTGCTGGGAAGAAAAGGCCAGGCCCTCAGTTAAGAAGGTCACCGAGGGCTTCCCTGGTGGCGCAGTGCTTGAGAGTCCACCTGCCGATGCAGGAGACGCGGGTTCGTGCCCCGTTTCGGGAAGATCCCACATGCCGCGGAGCGGCTGGGCCCGTGAGCCATGGCCGCTGGGCCTGCGCGTCCGGAGCCTGTGCTCCGCAAATGGGAGAGGCCACAACAGTGAGAGGCCCGCATAACGCAAGAAAAAAAAAAAAAAAAAAAAAAAGAAGGTCACCGAGCGGGGGAAGAAGAGCGGGTCTGCGGGTCTGGGAGCGATTTCGGGGAGTCGGTAACACAGTGGGGAAGATCATTCCTGAAATTAGTGGGATGAACAGAGAGACACATATACGTGTGTACACGTGCACATGCATGCCCGTGTGTACATGCATGCATATGCACAGACATATGCACATGCATGCACAGACATACATACACACACATTTAGGATGTATAAATACACAGAGGCTTTGTTTTTAAACACTAGGGAAGGGCTCACTGGTTTTCCAGGCTAGAATTCCACCCTCCGTGTTTATTTCCAGCACAAGCTCATTCAGAAACTCAAGATGCACATTACACTCACTTGAACTGGGAGCTCCTGGGACCCATGAGCCCTAGCCCAGGCGTTCAGCAGTACAGGCTGGTACCTCCAGCCTCCTCCCAGGGTCCAGAATCACTGGAGAAGGAGTGGGGGTGGGGGTGGGGGGGAAGAGAAATGGAGGAGGACACAGAAACCACGGGTGCCGACACCCCGGGCAGTGGACACATCAGATATGCCATGTAAGGCATCACTTCAAAGACGTGGATCAGATGTCACCAGCCAGAGACCAGCGCTGCACTTCTATGAAGAGGGCCTGAGGTCTTTACAGGAACCACCTCAGATCTGATCAGTGACAGGGAAGGAAGCCAGTTCTCAGGAGGTTAACAGAACAGGAGGTGGTACTCTACGGCTTTCCTGGCGTCTAAAACCAGCAGACACCTTTAGAACCTGGCACGGGCCCCACAGGAGACCCCAGGGCCACACATCACTGAGATTCACAGACACCTGGAAGCGCCCCCTTACCGTAAAAACATGCTACTTTCCCGTCCACTGGGATCTGCCGTTGGCGCTAGTCTAAGATACCACGTCAGCTTCTTCCCACAAAATTTCAGTTAGGCAACCCAGCCAGCCTGCTTCCTAGCCAGCAGGAAGCCAGCAGAGGCCCTTCTGTTGCAAGGAGCGCTGTTTTCCCAGGGCCATGGGTCCCCAGCTCTCCTGCAGTACGACCTTCACCCCACTGAGACCTCCAGCCCTGGCTGGTTCAAAGTGTCCAGGCGCCTCACGGGGATTGTGGGCACCGCTCCATCATGACAGGTAGTCTCTGGAGACACCCTGACCTGTCTCCCTCCCAGGACCATCCCTTTCCTCCATCCCATGCCCACATCCCATCCCGTCTCTACCACCTGCTGATGCCCAGGTCTTCACTCTGTAACCAGCAGCAAATTCCTGCAGCCTCACCTCATCAGGACCTCCACGGATAGAAGCACTTGGTCCTTTTTTATTGTATTTTATTTTATTTTTTGGCCGCACAGCACATGGGATCTTAGTTCCCCCAACCAGGGATCGAACTCGCACCCCCTGCAATGGAAGCGCAGAGTCTTAACCACTGGACTGCCAGGGACGTCCGTGCTTGGTTCTTTAAATTCTACAAGAGCTCAAAGGCAGCGTTGCAGGAGCTGGCCTCAGAGTAGAGTTAGGAAAACCTTTAATCTTCCCTCGACCACCACTGAGGCAGCCCCGGACCTTGGACCTCTGTCAGGAACCTTCAGCCTCCGCTAGGATCTGCCCAGACTCTCAGGACGCCCACGGCACCTCAAGGTTGCCCTCCCTCAGCAGCATCCCTAGCCCATGTCCTCTGCCAGGAGCCTGGTCGTGCTGCAACTCAGGCCGAAGACGAGTCCCTCTGGCCTGGAGCCCTGGCCCGGGACGCGGTCACTCTGGATCCTATTCTTTCACCCTAGGGCTGCTACTGGTGCCAGAACACACAGCCTCTGGCCCAGCACCGAGACGGATGAAGGCTCAGCGGAAGAGAGAAGACAGCTGCAGGTAGAAAGGGGATCCATGCCAAGCAAAATAAGATCAGGGCCGGTGAGGAAAGTAAAGTGATGCCCTGAATACCTGCACCTGCTGTTCTCCCCACCCAGGAGGCCTTTCCTCCTCCCGTGCCAGACACACTCCTAGGCAAGCACCCAGAGTGTCGCTTTAAGCTAAAACTCTCCCTGTGAAGACTTCCCTGACCCTCCTCGAAGAGTCAACTGGTCCATCCCCTGACAACCCTCACCCTTAAATCTCAGCTCTGATCGGAGCATCCTGGAGCTCCGTGGTTTACAGGGTCGCATTCCACACAGGGCTCCTGACAGCTGGGACAGCGCCCTCTGACCTCATACTCCCACCAGCGGGTACGGTGTGCAGGCTGAGCACGGGCCCACCACAGGCGAGCGGGAGCTGTCCGAGCCAGGCACAGACCAGGCAGGGGGGTCAGAGGTACAGAAGGAGAAGGAAGCAGCTCTTTTGCGGCTGGGCAGAAGGAAGGATGAGGTTCCCAGATGTAGAAGAGGGGAAGTGCAATCACTCCTTCCTGCAACAAAACCAAACTCTAATTCTAAGGCTCCAGGGAAGAACGTCTCTAGTGCGCTAATCCACAAAGCCTTTTCTCTACTGGTTTCTTTTCCACTGCTTAGAGAGAGAAATCCTTCAGCTCAGCTTCCGGAAACTCATAAAACCTTCAACACAGAAGCTATTTCATCAATGACCAACAGACCTCCTGAGAGGATAGGTTATGAAAGATCTTACACATAAGACACACCCTGGGCTGGAACTTCTATCAGCAGTCATGCCGCTAAGTTCAAACGCACTGCTGTCCAGGGGAACTCTCCATGCGTGGGCACCAGCCACTTGTGACTACTGAGCACTAGAAATGTTGGTATAGAGCAAACAAGGAAGGGAATTTTTAACTTAATTTTAATTAAATGTCAACAGCCATATGTAGATAGCTGTTACTGACTGGACAGTGCAGTGCTAACCTCCAGCTGCTCAGAGAATGAGCCCATGGTCAAAGCCACAGAGGAATGGAGCCTGTGGTCACCTTGGAGGGCAGCCCAGAAGGTAATCTGGCATTGCTGGAGACTCAGATGCTCTGGCTTTGGGTGTGGAACAGGTGCAGCCACAGAAGGCCATTCCTGTCTCGCAGGTTTCCCTGGGTCCTGCCACTCAGTCAGTTGACAACTATTTGGTGAGCTCTTATTCTATGCCACACCCCAGGCACTGGGGCGCTGGGGCTTCAGGGGTAATACAGAGTCCTAGCCTCAGAGCCTGCATATAGGAGGGAGAGAGAAGCTTAAATAGCAGGAGGGAAGACTGATGGAGGAGGCTGGGGTCCGATTATAGTTAACTGTGACAGCCATGGGTGACAGAGATGACTATCTGTCCTCCAAAAGTGTCACCATTTCTCTTCCAGATTGTGAAATTTGTTGCTAGGAGTTGACTGCCCAACTGAACTGTATTTGCCGCCTTCGTTTCATCCAGACTATCCACAGGACTATTTCTCAACAATGAGATATGAGTGGGTGTGATGGCATCACTTCTGGGCCAGGGCTTTTAAGAAGCAGATGGGACTTTATCATTCTCTCCTTTTGGTGGCTAGAAACAGAGGACTCTGAAGTCCTAAGGGACATCAGAAAGATGACAAGAAAGAAGGAGCCTGGCTTCCTGAGTCACTCCATGGAAGAAAGTCCTCCACCCCTATCCCCACTCTGTGGATTATTATTTGAGTGAGAAAAAAAAAACAAAAACTTTCATTGTGCTAAGCCATTGATATTTGGGGTTTATTTGTTATAGCAGCCAGCCGTTGTTACCCTAATATATACCACACAAAGTAGGACTGGTCTTTCTCATGTAGATACATCATATCAGCAGAGAGACATATGCTATGTGTACTTTGAAAGTGGTGCTGTGTCAAAGACTAAATAGGAACGCAGGAATACCAGAGGAAAGCATGGCAGGGATCCAGTTAAAGAATGGAGACGAAGACCAAAAGGAGAACATAGGGTCTTGTAGGACTGGCTGTGAACAGAGAGGCAGAGTCAATACTGAGACTTCAGACTGGAGCTGGATAGCTGGTGACTGCTCATCAGCCAAGACGGGCACAGACAAGGTGGAGCAGGCTGCGGGGGAGGGGGTTCATCTCAGCCTGTTAGTGTCCACTCACCTGGGTGAGAGCCGTGACTCTGTTGCCCATGTCTGGGAGAATGGGGGGCTCGTCGCCCACTTGAAAGTCAAAGTAGATGGTCTTGTGAGAGAAGGTGGAAAACTCGTTACTGAAGCAAAACTGATAAACGCCCTTGACCTCAGCCTGGTGTGTGAAGCTGTCATACTGCTTCTTGGTTTCCCTGTAGATGGTGTTCCCCAGGGGGTCCTCCACATAGCAGTCAACGTCGTAGTGGCCTCCAGTGATGACCTGACAACCACAAAAGACACCCACAGTCTGCTGTTACCAGAGAGGCAAACACCACTTACCAAAGGCCGACCAGGCACTGTGATTACATGTGACAAACATTTTTTTCATTTAATCTTCACAGCCTTCTAAAGGCTGACACTCCCCAATTTACAGAGGATGACACTGAGGCTGAGAGTTGAAGTTAACTGGCCACGGTCATGCTGCTTGAAAGTGACAGAGCTAAGACTCGAATCCATGTCTGCCTGACTCCAAAAGTTTTGCTCTGCAAGAGTGCCAAGAGCCTAATCCTCCCCACTTTACAGAAGAGGTAACTGAGGCTCCGAGGTTAAGTTAACTGCTGAACGTGTCTGGTAAACATTATTATTGCTGATGGAATGCAAGGGGAAAGCAAATATAGACTGAAGCCTTCACAGAATCAGTGATTACCAGAGGTGGGAGAGCCCTCGGGAATCATTAGTTCAAACTCTCTTTGTCAACACAGGAAAGATAAGACCGGCAAAGGGCAAAAATCACAGAGGTGGTCAATGACTATAACTAAGGTCCATCAAAGAACACAGTCAGGCTTCCCTCGTGGCGCAGTGGTTGAGAGTCTGCCTGCTGATGCAGGGGGCAAGTGTTCGTGCCCTGGTCTGGGAGGATCCCACGTGCCGCGGAGCGGCTGGGCCCGTGAGCCATGGCCGCTGGACTTGCGCGTCCGGAGCCTGTGCTCCGCGGCGAGAGAGGCCACAGCGGTGAGAGGCCCATGTACCGCAAAAAAAAACAAAACAAAAACAAACAAAAAAAAGAATTACCATATGACCCAGCAATCCCACTACTGGCCATATACCCTGAGAAAACCATAATTCTAAAAGAGTCATGTACTAAAATGTTCATTGCAGCTCTATTTCTAATAGCCAGGACATGGAAGCAACCTAAATGTCCATCAACAGATGAATGGATAAAGAAGATGTGACTCTTTCAACACAGTACTGGACATCATAGCCAGAACAATTAGGTAAGAAAAAGAAATAAAATGCATCCAAATTGGAAAAGAAGTAAAACTGTTTCTGTTTGTGGAGGACGTGATGTTATATGTAGGAAACCCTTGAGATCTCACATATAAAACTTTTAGAAAAAAAAAAAAAAAAAAAGGGGTAAAAAAAAATTTTTTAGGACACAAAAAAAAGTGTCCCCAAAAAAAAAAAAAAAAAAAAAAAGAACACAGTCAATGGCCTCCATCTGCTTCCAAATGTTAAAATTTCCTTTTGTTCAGATGGAAGAATTTGCTTTGTGATTAGTGAGCTTCCTAATGCTGGAGGTGTGTAAACTTATGCTGAACCTACTCTAACTGGGGTTCCTGACCTGGCAGGGACCAGATGACCTCTCAGGCCCCTCCATCCTCACAACGATCATGTTTTGGTGACTGTATCCAGGTTACCCCTGTTAAACCAGCTGCAATTTCCACACTGTCCACGGACATGTGAAAGTGGCCACATCAGTGACTCGGAGGTCATCACACATAGTGCTGTCCCCAAGCACACGCCTCTTTTAGTGGCTTTGGTCAGAGAGGGCCCACCATATGGCCTGCCCCTACTCCTGCTTCCCGTGCCAACTCATCTCTGTAATGCCTGTCAGTATGTGTCCACAAGCAGACGCGGGTCTGGGTATAATTCCCACTCAGCTCCCTACTCTTAGATCTGCTCACTAAACCTTAGGGGCAGATCTCTCACTCAAGACCTGCTCCCCTGAACTGTGAGCCATGAAATCTCTCAAAGGAGCCAGGACTGCAGGAGCTAGGAGCTTTTCTGAGCCATATGGCAGCAGCCACAACACCACTCCTTGGAAACACTGCCGGGGCTCAAAGCCTGCGCTGACACCTCCTTTCCAAAGCGCCATTTCTCATCACTTGCCACGCTCACCCCAACTTGACTTCAAACACTGGAGAGGCGGAAAAATAAAGCCAAGAACCCACGTCCTCTCGCTGCCATTTTTCAGTACAGGCGGGGACAAACTGGTCCAAAAAACTTGGGACTGTGTCCAGCTAATCAGACATGGCATTCCTTAGAGTCAAGGGGCCTGCAGGTCAATGAGGACAACTCCCCAGGATGCAGGACCCGCCCCCGGGCATCTGCATCCAGGTAGCGCACCTGCGGCGCTACCTCCCTCCCTGGTTAGTCGGGTCTGTCTCGAGTGGGCTCTGACTTCCTCGCGGGGAAGTCAGTTGGTCTCTGGTCATTCCCGCCCCCTTTCAGCCTCTTTGGCTAATTCCAGCCACTCCAGCCTGGGGAGCACCAGTGACCAATGGAGACCTGGAAGGGGGAGAGGAGGCGCTGCCGGGCGCCAGGGCCCCACCTGGTAATCCAGGGAGAACTTCACGCCCTGCTCCACGTCCTCGTGGAAGCACTGCTTGGCGTTGTCAGGAAGCTCGAAGGTGAGCTCCGCGCCCCCCGGCCGCTCCGCCTGCAGCAGCAGCAGCAGCAGCAGAAGGGGCAGCGCGCAGGCGGAGCGCGAGGCCACGCTGCCCATGATGCTCCCGGTCCAGTCCCGTGGGCCGCGGCTCGGGCGTGCGCTCCGCGCGGGTGGGACGGTGGCTGGGGGACCAGGGATAAGGTGCAGGGACAGACGTGGCGCTTGCTGGGCGCTGCGCTTCCGGAAGGGCGGGAGGCTCAGCGCGCAGCCGCGCGCTCGGGGGTGGTCCCGGGACCGAGGCCAGAGAGCGCCGCGGCCTCCCCCCGCCCCTTCTGCCCGCTGCGCCTGCGCGCTGGCTGGGCTGGCGGAGGGGACACGTCCCTTCCCCCGCCCCGCGCTGTTCTGCTGGGGCGTCTCGGCGAAGGTGAGGCGGGAGGCCCATCCCCAGCGCGCACCTCCCCGGAAGGGCCCTCTGCCAACATCCCCGACAGACGTTTGCTGCATCTTCTGGGACCCGCAGGCTTGAGTATTACCCGGAATTGGCCCAGGTCCACGCAGTCCATCCTCGCTGGCTGCAGCAGCACGAAGCCCATGGGGTTTTATGAGGTACAGGCTCTGCTTCTGACTGGCTTTGTAACTTGTCTCACGCTTCTCTGGAGAAACAGTCTCCTGGTCTAGAGCTGGGTGTGCCCAAACCTACTATCCACAATAGCAAGGAAGGCTAGAGGAAAGATATGCAAACTCTGGGGACCCAATTAACACCCCCTTTCTCATTCCCATCCCCTTCCCAAGGTGAAAAAGTATGCCACGGGGCAGGGGGGTTGATTGGTGAGAGTAAGTAAAACCCCACAATTACATCTGTTGGGGGGGGGGAACCTGCAGGCGTGCTCACACACAAAGCTTCCTGAAGATACGAATACAGGTCTCTCACTCAGGGATTTCAGGTATCTCTTGGTTGTCTGGATAAGTTGAAGGTTCTTCTGGGACAAAACAATCTTTTTTTTTTTCCCCTTTGACTTCTCAAAAGCGCTGAAAGCAGATAAATTAATTTACTGTCTTATCACCATTGACCTAAGAAGATATTTTGTATAATCATTACAATAGCGTTTTATATTCACTATGATCAGGTAAAGACAAAGAAAAAAACGATTGTAGTCTCGCTACTCAGTAAAGAATTTTTTTCAGAACATCATTAGGTGAGGTGTATCTTGATTTTAGCAAAGAATTTTACTGCCTATATAGGTCTCCACGTGGATAAGACCGAAGTGTCCTGTCACTTAAAAAGCTTTTGCACAGCAAAGGAAATCATAAACATGGTGAAAAGACAACCCTCAGAATGGGAGAAAATATTTGCAAATGAAGCAACTGACAAAGGATTAATCTCCAAAATATACAAGAAAAAACCCAATCCAAAAATGGGCAGAAGACCTAAATAGACATTTCTCCAAAGAAGATATACAGGTTGCCAACAAACACATGAAAGAATGCTCAACATCACTAATCATTAGAGAAATGCAAATCAAAGCTATAATGAGGTGTCACCTCACACCAGTCAGAATGGCCATCATCAAAAAATCTACAAACATGGGCTTCCCTGGTGGCGCAGTGCTTGAGAGTCCGCCTGCCGATGCAGGAGACGCGGGGTCGTGCCCCGTTTCGGGAGGAGCCC